CTTTGTAACCCGGTCTTGATTAGCCTGGAACCAGGCCTTTTTGGTCTTTAAATCTTCAATAACCCTGCTGACCTCGGACACGTTCGTGGGTGGTGGAATGGACAATGCCATCAGACCAGACAATGTGCCGAATGGAATGTTGAGTTGCTGAGATGAAGCATTCGAGGTCTCACCGGTCGGTTGTGGAGGTGCGGGGGCAGGGGAGCCGTACGACTTGGCGGGGGCAGCCTTTTTCGTCTTCTTGGCCACGAAATAGTTGTTCTCCTCCTCTCCCTTCTTCTTCAAAGCGGTCATACCCTCCATGGAATCACCACCCTGCCTGAGCTCGAGCTTTGGTGCAGTCGACGCGCCATACTTTAAAGAGACAGCGGCACCCTCTGCAGTAGACGCATTCCCGCCCGACAAACGGGTGAAAAAGTCGATGAGGGTCTGGCAATCCTGGATATCAGCAGCATACGCCGGCTCCTTGGCCTGCTCGAGCATCTCTTGAGCCACCGCCTTTCTCTTTTGCTCCTCCTGCTCCTTCTTTTCCTTCATCGCCTTTTCCGCACGTCTCGCCCGATCCTCATTCACCTTCTTCCAATACGAATCCGTACCCGCTTTATAGTCCGCCTGAGCCGCCTTCTTCCTCGCCCACACATCATCCAACTTGCCCTGCAACTCTGTCCTCTGATCAAACAACTTGGATCGTCCTTCATAAGCCGCATCGCTCTCCTTTTTCAACTCGTCAAGCTCGCCCTTGATCTGGTCGTACTTTTCAGAGACGGCTTTCATCTCGGGGTCGTCGAGCACGGCGCGCAGTTCGTCGATTGCTTTACGGTCCTTTTCAATCTCGTCTTGTTCGGCTTGGAAGGACTCGACTGTTTTGCGGAGTCGTCTGAGGGAGGAAATTTCTTGCAGGGTTTTGCGTTCGTCAACAATCTTCATGGTGCCAGAGTTGACGAGGTTGTCCAATTTACTGCACGTAGGTTAGTACGAGGTGGGATCAAGATATGGGTATGTGCGTACGTGATTTGAGCATTGACCTCTTCGACAGACTTGAACGGCGCTTTTCCTCGGGCAGCCTGAA